TCATAGCGTCCCCCTACTATCATGCCGTTATAATCATAACGTTTAATACGTTTTGGGGACGCTCCTTTTTTTTAAGTAACCAGAGTTCCCTATTTTAATTTTGCCAAGTTGAGCACTGATTACAAATAATTTATAATGCACAGATGTGCATCAAGAGGGGAGGGCAACAATTCGATAATATCGTATGTAAATATAATAAAAATAAATTATTTAATAGAATAAGGTAGCTCTCCCACAAGGGCGACGCAACTGACGAAACTGGCGATTTTTATCGCGTCCGTGTTTCCAATGTTTATAAATGGTACTTCTCCCATACACGCAACGCGACTATTGTTGCGACGACTGCGACATAATAAATCGTGTACAACTGAACATGTCCAATTTCATTGCAACGATCGTCTGCGACTTTGGTAAATATGGCCAAAAAAGACGATCCCGTTTAGAACATAAAACTTGTGGAAGAAATAGAAAAACACCCTATCGTAATGATGTTGTTGGAGTAGGATAAATTGATTTAATAATTAATTGAAACACTTTTAAACACTTTAATAAATACAAATAAATGATTCACAGATACAAATTATAAATTTGTGCACTAACAATATCAAAGACAAAACTCAGAAGGGCTTGTACTGATAGCTAGACACGTCTGTCGTTGGTGGTGAAACGGAGCCTTTATATACTCTGTTTGATTCTGTTTTAATTGTGTTGTTTTCGCCGCTTGGTTGCCCTTGGTCTTGATCGTCATATTCGAATGATGTTTCGTCACTTGGTTGCCCTTGGCCTTGATTGTCCTATTCGAATGATGATGTTGTTTGCGGTTGTTCGTGATTTGTAATTCGCACATGGCACTCATTACAGTTTATGTGTGCAATAGTTATTCTCTGTACGTTTTATCTTTATAAGACTCAGGAATATGCGTATTATTATTTATTAGTAATATATGCATATTACAATATTTAGTTGAACGTTGTTTTTTTTAGTTTTAATATTCTGAAGTGGACCAATTTTATCCATTTAAAGACCTCTCCACGTTTCTTCTTCATGAACAGTCGTTATACTTAATGATGAATTACAATCACTGTCATCGGGATCGAAGTGTGATTCAAAAAAGTCATTATTTTTTTCTTCTGTAAATGTAAATGTATTTTATTATTAAAATTATAATATTATTAACTATTTATAGTCAATTCAGCAGTTGCCTATTATTATTATACTTAAAAGTATTTATTTTTTTTTAAATTAACCTGTGCTATGTATTTCTGGATCTAATAAATTATCAATTGAAGACAATGACAACGATCCTTTTACCAATTGACTACGTTTTTGAGGTGATGGCGTAATATTTTCTATAAAAACAAATACGTATTATAATAAATTATTATCGATAGGTAGATACTAAAAAGATCATATCATTTTAATGTACTACATACCAGTGTCTGATTTACATAAATGACTAATTTCACTTTTTGATTTTAATGATATATTGGTTTCAATTTGGTCAGAGTCACTAGAAAACAACGACCGCGATCCTTTTACCAATTGAATACGTTTTTGGGGTGACGACACAAATTGTTCTATCAATAAAAAAGTTTTAAAACTATAATGGTTTAATAACATAGCACTTTATTAAAAATTAATATGTAATTTTAAAACAATTTACCTGTAGACTTGACATCGACTTGAATACTTCTTACTATTTTCATAATTTGATCTATGTTAATCAAATGAGTAGAGATAAAACGGTCAACGGATAAAAGATTAGGTTTTTGTGAAAGAATATTATTTTTTAATTCTGCAAAGTTTCCTTCAACTGGAGCAGATGTTGCAGTTTCATATGGAGACTTGAAATTAGCCATCATAACGTTAGACCATAATGGAAATTCTTTTGAAATCCTTAAAAGTTGTTTTGCGAATTCTGGAATATAAAATGGACTCAATTTGTCTCCTTTTTGAGATGAATTAACAATACTTTTGTTTTTAATCTGGTTCAAAAAATATTTTACTGTGTTGGAAGTTAAATTATTTTCATCGTCTGGTATTTGATTATCGTCTATGTCATCGTTAGACATGAAATCATCTTCATTTTGTAAATAACTGTCATCATATAAATATTGTTCATCATTTATTTTCATAGGAGGCAAACCTTTAATTTTATTTATTAACTTGTTACGTGAAATTTCACTCGGACAATTTGTATTGGACGATAAACATCTACCTTCTGTGTCACTGTAACATACTGTTAATGTGTCTACAAGAATATCTTCATACTCCGATAAAGACGTGGTTTTTATTAATAATCTAATACATCTGACGTAAAATTCTTTCAATAGCATTGTTCTTTTACCTTGCCAGCACTTCCTTATACAAACTAATTTAATCAAATGAGCAATATCAATCCTTACATAGCAAAAAAGTCTTTCAGATTCTATACTATTATATTTCTGCATTATATTAAAGCACTTATTTACATACTCATGTAATGGTACCCCGTTACAGAATGCTCTAGTGATGCCTCCTAGTAAAGCTTTTGAATAATCACAAACAGCTTCCTGAGGAAGCTGAGGAAATCGGGACTCCATCTTTTAACCACTGTGCCAACCAATAATATATTGTTTATGTGTTTCACTAAGCATCTGTGTTACAGGAACTTGATATTGTGGATTTGAAACAACAGCTTCATATAAAAAAATATAACCTGACTTAATATTTTGTTTTGTTCTGACAATTTTTTTAACTAAGCTTCCTGTAGCATCAATAGCTAGTCTGCAGAACGACTTTTGCAAATGTTTGTATACAACCAACTGATATGGAATCCAGTAATGAACAAATAACTAATCAGCGCTAACCACTATTTGACCACTAAATTTTCCATGCTTTAACTCAATTAGGGATTTAATCGGGCACTTATCATTAATTCCAAGCACATCATCTTTGAACTCTTGCTTGCATTTCCTTAAAACCGTTTTATTGTAAATATTTGGAGGTAATTTGTCACCAAAATCGATTGAGGAAACAGTGTTTCGTTGCCAATTATTAGCACCAGAGTGTAACAACTCTTCTCCAATATTATACCTTTTTTTATCATTTAAAGGTCTTTTTGACATATGTTCTGACCAATTATTTCTAGTGTCTTGAATCACAATGGTTATGATGAGAGGAAATCCTTCCTTGGGTTTTTTTTTCAGCTCAACCAACTAGTTTTGACTGACAGTCCTTACATTTTCCTTCAAATTGTAAATAATGTTTACTGCGTTCAACAACTGTATTAACCCTGCAGTGTTTGTATACAAACGTACAAGGAACTTTATAATTGTTTAAAAACGTATCGTTTATTATATTTGTCCATATACCCGGTTTTAACACTGTAAATTTTCTTTTTGTTTTCCCATAGCGCATTTAAACGGGTTTCATTCATAGAAATTCTTGATATGGGACTTCAAATTTAAATGATTTTAAATTGCCATCATAATCAGAATTATGGTCTTCGTCTAAATTTTTGAGGACTTATATTTATCTTTTCTTCGTCAATGTCAGAAGTTTATTGAAATTTTGTGAAGCCTAAGGTTTCCTTCAAAATTGTTTGCCAGGAATGACGATCTTGATAAATATTTATATACTAAGTTTGGCCAGTAATTTTTCCTTCAAAGTGATCACTTATTTGTTTCTAAATAGGATTTGAGTATGGTAACAAGGATTCATTTGAATCAAAAAGATCTCTACCAACTTCTTTAAGATATTCAAGGGCAATACCGTAATCTAACCTTGGTTTTCTTCCACCTTATCTAATAGAAAAAAAAAATTTGAAAAATATCGACGGTTATCTACAGTTTTTTTTTTTTTTTGTAGGTATATTATGGTTATAATGTAGGTACTATAATATTATACATTTGAGTAAACCACAAAATTAAAAATTAAAAAAACACAATTTCTTCATAAATAATAACCAATGTGATAAAATTTAAAAAAGAAAGAAAGAAAAATATATTTAAAAAAAAAAAAAATGAATAAAGTTTTATTTTATAATTCGTGATAACAAATAAACATAAAAATATTTTTTGGTGCAAAGAAACCCTCACTTTCGGTTTCTTTAAAAATATTAATGCAAACCAAAGACTGGTCGATTTTATTATAATATAAGTATACATCTATAGGGTGATTCATGAATCATGTTACAGCAATTTTATCATATAAATATTTGAAATAGACCCAAATGTATAATAGGAAAGTTTCTTCATTTAAGACAGGCATGTTAAACACACGGCCCACGACTTATTTTTTTGTGGCCCTCAGCTAGTAATATTAATGGACAAAAAAAAAAAAAAGAATAATAAAAAAAAAAAATTATAAAATATTAATCATGTGTTTCAACTAACATAGATTCTTTGATAATGGTATATATTTTGGTATATATTATTATGTTTTATCTTCTAATAAACTTTAATGTAATCGAGCAATTAGTATTATTGATGGTTTCATATGTACAAATTATAAATATATATGTCGTAGCCACATAGTGAAATTGACCATTTCATGAAAAGTTGACCATTTCATGAAATGGAAACGACTTTTTAACACTTCGTGAAATACGGAAATATTTCATGATATGGTCACTTTTTCATGAAACGGTCGTTCCAATTTGACATCGTGTAATTTTTTTCACAATCTGGTCGTTCACTTTGTGTACCGAAAATATATTTAATATTTATCATGGTCTTATAATCATTTTTATCAGTAGATATGAAATATGTTATAAGTTATAATTTATAACTATTGATTTAAGCACGAAATTCCTTTACCAAAAATTCTATTATACAATAATATCTATTAAATAAAATTACCTGGTTATGTGAAACGAGCAGGTTATATTTTATTGATTTAGATTTATCATATTAGATTTTTGTTCAAAAGTGTATAGTCGGTGAACGAATTGCATTGTGCTCGCACATTCACGCATTTTAGATATTTACTGTAAAATAATTTTGTATAATCTTAATAATATGGAAGATTTTAATCCAAAAAGTGAATTTTATATTCGAATGAACAAGTATTATTTGGACAAACCGGGAAAAAAGCCATATACAAATATGAAGATTGAGACAATTATGGCCGAAATTACTGATGCTAAATTAAATAAGTACCTACAAAATAGATAATTTGACCACCCATTAATCGTGAGTATCGGTAACTAATTTAAATTTAAATTTCACAGAGGTGCAAAGAAAAGACGTGATTATTATATTTTACAAAAATATGATGTATTAACTGTGGCCGAGAAGAAATATTTAATTCATAAAAAAACTGACGACAAAGATGATATAAAGTAAGATATATTTATATCTATAAAGTAAATAAGTAATTAAAAACAAATTGCGTACGAAAACCATACTGCGATGGCCGCTGCGCTACAGTTCAAGAGCGATCACTGTGCTCGACCGAAGGCTTGCCAATAAATATTACGAATGTGCGCTACAGAAAGTGGAAATCCGACGCTATGGCACGTTGCACGTGAACATTTATACGTGTCGTAGCGCCACGTAGATAAATAAATAAATGATAATATACAATAGGTATGTTATAGGTATGTTGTGTCATATGAAGAATTGTTCGAAAGACTAAGTGATTATCATATACGTACTGGACATGGTGGTATGGGGAAAATGCGTGCGGCACTGTCCAATAAATATTCGATTCCAAGACCAGCTATTGAAACTTTTCTATCAATATGCGCAATTTGTAATAGTAAGAAAGGGTCAAATCGTAAATTGGTTTTCAAACCAATTGTAAGCAAAGACTTCAACGAGAGAGGTCAAGTTGACTTGGTGGATTTCCAGTCATTACCTGACGGAAAATATAAATGGATTTTAAACTATCAAGACCACCATACAAAATTTATATCTTTATTTCCACTTGAAAGTAAACGAGCGGTCGAAGTAGCATCTAATTTACTCACAATTTTTTTAACTTTTGGTGCACCGAAAGTTTTACAAAGTGATAACGGTAGAGAGTTTGTAAATTCTGTTATTAACGAAATTAAGGAACTTTGGCCGGAATGTATTATTGTACATGGGAGACCAAGACATCCTCAGAGTCAGGGAAGTATTGAACGTAGCAATCAGGATGTCGAAAATATGCTTCGAGCATGGATGAAGGACAATAAATCTAAAAAATGGTCTGTGGGATTGAAGTTTGTCCAATTCCAGAAAAACTCTTCACACCACCGCATAATTGGCCGATCTCCTTACAAAGCATTATTTGGTTGTGAGCCTAAGGTTGGATTAACAACATCTAATTTACCACAAGAAGTTTCAAAAAAATTAACAGCTGAAGAAGATCTGGAAGAAATATACAACCAATATGAAGAGGAAATACAAGAACAAATAAATGTTAAACGATATTGCGGAATTTGTAAAATTGAATCCACGAAGACTTTTGTGATTTGTGTAAAACATAAAAAATAGAAGAAGAACGTGAAGCAGCGCATATAGGTCAAAACAAAGCCGCCAAAAGAATGTTACAGGTATCTAATTATTTATTATTTATAACAATTTGACATATATAGTAAATAAATTGGATGTGTACAATATATTTAAGTATTTTTTTTTTTTTTGTTATTTGTTATAGGTTATAATTCCTACGTTCAATATTAATGACTGTATCACAATTCCTGTTCCAAAAGTCGATAGAGGGCCTTTGGACCCAGCACGCATAATTGCTGTTATAGTTGAGAAAAAAAATGAGTTGTATAGAGTAGGAACTGAACATGGTTTAATTAAAGGATGGTTGAGTTCTGGAAATATGCAGCGTACCACATCACATTTCATATCTGCTAATCAAGTTGACAAGCAAAACGAATTAACTTTGCGTGAAACAGTTAAAATTATATCTGGAGGTCAAGGATTTTTGAGTTGTACATGCAAAAGGGCTTGTCAAACTAAACGTTGTGCTTGTTTTAAAAGTAGTATTAAATGTAACAGCAGTTGCCATAATTCATTGAATTGTTTAAATAAATAATTATTAACTATACGATAAATTATATTATATATAAGTTATTAAAAATTATTATATAATTTATTTAATTACCTACATATTACTACTTTTATTATTAATTATATCAAAACTAAACTTAATATAATATACTTACCATATTACACAATGTAACAAACAAAAATTATTATAAAATTTTGATAAATATAAAATATTTTTTCAGTACACAAAGTGAATGACCAGATTGTGAAAAAAATTACACGATGTCAAATTGGAACGACCGTTTCATGAAAAAGTGACCATGTCATGAAATATTTCCGTATTTCACGAAGTGTTAAAAAGTTGTTTCCATTTCATGAAATGGTCAACTTTTCATGAAATGGTCAATTTCACTATGTGGCTACGACATTAATAATTTATATCGTCAGTACGCGACCGCGTGGCTTTGGAAACTAGTCGTTCGACAACCATCTTGTGTTCAAGTTTAAATTTTGTTGCGTATATTTTACTGCAAATTTAAAATTTAAAAATGTCTGTATCAAAACCAAGTGGTAGATATAAACGTAAAATTACCGATGAACATCGTCAATTTCATGAAAATTGGGAATTACAATATTTTTGTAGTGAAATCAATAATAAAATAATTTGTTTAATTTGTAAAAGTGTTATTAGTGTTCTAAAGTTGAACAATATTAAGCGACATTACGAACAACATAAGTCAAAATACGACTACTATGAAGGGTTATTAAGACAAGAAAAACTGAAAGAAATTAAGGTATGTCCACACTAGTGCGTTTTCGTTTCAACTTACTCTTCGTCATTCGATAAGCGCAAGCGATTGTTGAGTGCTTTAAACGCATGCTTCTTTCTGTGCACATCTGTGTCTACGCCAGTGAGAATACAGTGAGAAGAAGACACTTAAAATGTGATAAAAATTGAAATTGTTATGTTTGCTTTGTTACTATTATTTTAAAAATTGTTTTCAGATACATTTTAAATTCTTATGTTTCTGTTATTAGTGAAAGTTAACAATAAATGATTCGTTAATATGACTTACAAACGTTTGGTACACAAAACAAAAGAGAACACATAAAGAAAAGTAAGAGAAACACGAGACGAGATGTGTATCCGTACACGGTATCGGAAAAACAGTCCGGTTACGTGGTGGTACCTCTCGGACGTCGTAGCGACCGCTCGCGTCCCCTGTCCGGTGATGGATGGGTGGACGGGGTGTCGTTGCGACGTTGCGTGCTGCGAAGTGGTGGTTGATGAGAGAGATAAGGACACGGTCGGCGACTGCCGTTTCGGTAACGGCCGCCGCACGGGTCCGCGTCATACTCCCCCGCCAAACCGCCAGTCGCGGTACTGCTCCAGTTTGTTACGCTATTTCCCCGTGACTGTTATGGAGGTTCTCGTCCGTCGGTGATGTCCGGACTTATTGGGTAGGGTCACCGACTAACTGTACCTCCGTTGTGGTGTTCCCCAGGCGTGGTGGGGACGACGCCGAGGCGTGGAGACGATGTCCAGTCTATGGTAGACGGTCATATCCAGTCGTGGTGTATAGTCCGCCCTGGTGGTCGTGAGCGGCGTGGAGAACACGGGTGGGCTTTCCTCGATGTCCGGGAATGTTGGGAGTGGTGACCCGGGTTCGTCGAGGATTCGGTCATCGACCTCCATCGCCTCCCCCGGGTTGGTGTCTTGCTCCGGTCGGTGTTCCTGGGCGGAACTACCTGGTACCGGTGCTGACACCTGCACCGTCTCCCGACCTTCCGGGTCGGTGGTCGGCTCTGCCGAGGAAGTCGCCTTCGTCAGCCGGTACTGCTGACTCGAGCCTTCCCTCTCGGCTTTTGCCCGCAGTCTCCTCTGCCGCTGGTGTTCTCTTCTCCGCTCCTTGGCCCGTTCTGCCGTCCGCTTGGATGTTGCCGGTGTGGCTGGCTTCGCGGGCTTTGGCCAGGGCTCCAGTGGTCCTGGCTTGTCGGATGGAGGTGCAGGTGGTGGCGTCGGCAGGCGGTCCACGTAGGCCACGCGGCCGGCATTCCCGTCCACTCCGTCGTCGGTAGGTGCGGGTCTGCCGGTGGCATCCTGGGCACTAGCGGACGTCCCGGAGCTGGTCTCACCCACGTCACGTTCCGCTGTGGCCGTACGGAGCTGGTGTCTTGCCGTAGTGGGGTTGTGCTCTGTTTGGCGCCGCGTGTTGTTGGTGTTGTACGGACGGCCGGTGCTGCGCTGATTGCTGGTGTAGCACACCCCGACCCCATCGCCTTGGTGGTTAGGACCCGATGGCGGGTCGACGGACGCGGTGGTTTCGGCGTTGGTGTAGTTGCGGGTGACCTCGCCGTCGAGGAGCCGAGGGAACTCACCAAATCGGTGGTCTGGTCCGCCCACCCCCGACAGTAAGCTGCCCAGAGTAGTGGCTCAGCCCGCAGTTGAGCGACTCCCGCCTTCCGGACGTCGTCCGCTGTGCGACAGTTCCCCATCGATCCTTGCACCGTGACCGCCTCCTTGACTTTCTCCAGCATCTCCACAACCTTGGAGGTGTCCATTGCTGATTGTTGACGGTGGCTGGATGTGATGCTGAAAAACGCGCAATCGTGTGTGTAATTAATGGTGTGCGCGTTTAAGGCAGGACACGTGGATTTTCCTCGTCATCGATAATGTTTTATTTTAATTTTATTTTTTATTTTTATTTTATTTTAATTTTTTTTTTTTTTTTTTTTTATTGCTAGTAGTAGACAAATGTGTACAAGTGTATGGTTACATATGGATTTACTAGCATTGCTCTACACTGAGGTAATACCTCTTATCGTAAAGCAAGAATACTAATCTAGATGAAATTATAAATAAAAAATTAAATTTAGAACAATGATAAAAAAATTAAAAAGAAATAAAAAAATTTTAACAATTTGTTATGATAATAAGAAATAGAATCTAATTTTAAATACATAAAAATTAATAACAAACATGATTTATAAATATAATTTTAAACATTAAATATAAAAAAAAAAAAAAATTTATTTAAACTAAGTTGTGTAGATAAATAGGGTTTTTAAGTATAATATTTCTCATAGATAAAAAATAGACTTGAATTATAAAAGTATTTTACAGATTAAGATAAAACCATTTTTTTAGTTTGTATTTAAAATTCGGATTATTTAAACATTTTTTCAATTCATCCGGGATGATATCTAATGCCCTAAGACCAACTTGCATGAATGTATTAGAAGCTTTCTTGGTGTTAATAAAAGGAATATCGAAATATTGTTTTCTAAGCATATGATGATTGTTTTTAATTTTAAATGCTTTAGTTTTATAAATAAAACATATCGCTTGCTTTTTATATAGATTTTCAATTTCGAGTACTCGTTATAGTTTGAATAATTCTTTTGAAGGGAAAGTTTTTGGTTTACTTAAGATGATTTTTATTATATTTTTTTGTGCTATTGATAATTTATGTATTAACGTAGTGTTGCAACCTCCCCAAGCGACTATACCGTATTGTATTAAAGATTGAATCATTGCAAAGTATGTTATTCTTAGATAGTTTCTATTTAGTATTTTTTTTGCTGTTAGGAAAAAGTAAGTTAGTTGTCTTATTTTATTTATTAGATTATCTATGTGCATATTCCATTTTAAATTTTGGTCAATTAATATTCCAAGGTATTTAACGGACGCGTGTCTAGTTAATTTAGGGCAGGAACATGATATAGTGTTGCAATTAATTTTATGTATAATCAATTCTTTTTTATTCGGCTCAGTTCTAGTATTATTAGTAAATGCAATACATTTTGATTTATCAAAATTTATTTTAAGATCATTATTAGAAAACCATTTATCGAGTACTGCAATATCAGATTCACTTTTTTGCCACGTTGATTCCCAATTAGAACTAGACACTATAATAACAGTGTCATCAGCATACGAATAGATTCTTCCTTATAACGAGAGTCTGTCTAGTGCTGACACATACATAATATATAGTATTGGAGATAACACCGTGCCTTGTGGGACTCCTCTATGAATTATACCTATGTCACTTAGTTTATCACCTACTTTGACCTGTTGAGACCTACCTTCTAAATATGATTTAAAAATTGAATATGATGATCCAGTAATACCAAAAGATTTTATACAATTTAGCAGTTTAGGATGAGGTATACTATCAAAAGCTTTACTAAGATCTAAAAATATACCGATAGTTTTATTATGGTTATCTAAATTATCATAAATATCTTTTGTTAAGTTAGCGAGAGCGTCTTCTGTACCTAATCCCTTTCTGAAACCATATTGTGAGATGGGTAATAAATTATTTTCTTCTAAATAATTTACGAGCCTAGTTTTGATTGCTTTTTCAAATATTTTGGAAAATACGTTTAATAAACTTATTGGCCTAAAATTACTAAGGTCGGTTTTAGATCCTTTACCTTTATAAATGGGCGATATTAATGCATTTTTGAAGGCATCTGGGATAATCCCTTCTTTTAAAATTTGTTTGAAAATTTTTTCTAGAATGTCAGAAATAAAGTCTTTAATATTTTTAATAACATTAATTGAGATTGTGTCTGGACCAGGAGCGGAATCGTTTTTCATATCAGTTATAATTTTGTATATTTCGGTTCTAGTGATCTTTCTTAGATATAGTGAACATGAAGGGTTATTGTTATTATATTCAATTTCCTTATTAGAAATATTACCGTTGAGATCTCCCATAGTTAAAAAGAAATCGTTCAATTTATTCGTTATTATGGATGCATTTGTTCTGAAGTTGTAAGTTATATTATTTATTTTTAAGTTTATTTCTGGTGACTTTGCCACATTTTGGTGCGTTGCTTGTTTAATAATAGACCAAATTATTTTTGGATTAGAACTATTGTTTTTTACTTTTTCTCCGAAATAAGAGTATTTTGCTTTAGCGATAATTTCAGTTAATTTGTTTCTATATTGTTTGTATTTATTCTTTAGATTAATATTAAATGGCTCTTGTTTACTTAATTTATGCAATTTATCTCTTTTTTTAATTGCGTTAATTATACCTGATTGAATCCATGGATTGTTTCTTTTTATTGATTTGATTGTTCTTTTAGTAGTAGACTGTCTTATTAAATTTTGTAGGGAGTCCGTTAATAAATTAATATTTATATTAGCACTGTTATTATCTGTTATATTATGGTTCCAGTTTATATCTTTAATTAATTTATTCTATTTATTATAATTAACAGTGTTATAGTAATTTGGTTCTTTATTTATGTTGTTACTGTGTATGAGTGAATTATTTTCAATAATTTGTGTAATTACTGGATAATGGTCGGTTATAAGTGAATCGATAAGCGTTACCTGTATAGTGATATTCGAATTATTAATAATATTTGAGAAGACGTGATCTAGGCAGGTATTTGAATCGGGACGTGTAATGATATTTATGTGAGATGTAAAGTTTAATGTGTTTAATATGTCTATATAGTTTGTTGTGTTTTGTGTGGTATCTAATAAATTAATGTTTAAGTCCCCTATAATAATAATTTTAGTATTTTTATGTTTATTGGTTATATCGGTGATTAGAATATTAAATTGTGCCAAGAATGTGTTAATATCTCCATTCGGAGATCTGTAAAGTGATAGTATACCGTATTTGTGACCATTAAAATTTATTGTTGTGAATAGGCAATTAGTGTCTTGAATTATTAATTCAGTCGTATTATGTATAATATCATTTTTAATAAAAATCACTAATCCATCTGATCTACGTAAGTTATTTTTTGTATATTCTATGTTGAAAACTTTACAAAATGAAAAATATTTAGGGTTGAAGTCTTTACTAATCCATGCTTCCGAAGCTATAATAATATGACATTTATCATTTAGCGATGCATTTAAATATTCTAAATCATTTATGTGCTTGTTTAAACTTCTGATATTAGTGTGCAATATATTGAGACTATTGTTGTGATTTGATAATCTTTCGTTCATTTCATTAATGCAATGCAAGTTGGTTTTATCAGAGTCCAAAAGTTCATAAATATTATTAATTGAAGCCATATTTGGTTAAGTTATGTTTACTACGATGTAATGTACAATTATGTATAATTATGATGTGAAAATTATTGTTAATTAAAAATAATATTTCTATATAGTATGTATCGTTGATTTAATTATTAACATTATTGTTTGTATTAATATAAATATACGTTTTATTATAATAACAAGAAGAGTTGAGCAGTGTAACTTACGCTTTATCGAGGTCTTGTTGATTTTTTATGCGCTGTATTTTTGAATTTTCATTTTTCCTCATGAGTATGTCCCCGTTGTTCACCCATACGAATTTGAAATTTTTTTCTTTCCCATATGCTCTTGCTTTTCCAAATAGTGACCGTCTTTCCTTTGTTAATCGTTCATTGATAAATATTTTGTTTTTGTCCGGCCAGGCACTACATATGTTGTTTGCTGATATTTTAGTAATTTTACTGTTTTTAATTAAAGTTTTTTTCATATCTATTGTTTCTAGTTTAGCTATGATTATACTATTTGAGTTGTTGTTAAAAAATTGTCTATTTGCCTCTACAACGTTGATAACTGTGTTAGTTTTTAGTCCAATTTCTTTCACGATTTCTGTACAGTTTTCGTTTGGAGTATGAGGTATACCGGCTACTTCAATGCTTTTTATAAGGTTTGTTTGTTCTATGATATCAATTTTAAAATTTATAATCGAAATTTCTTTTAGTAAATAATTAGTATCATTTTTCATTTTTTCATTTTCGATTTTTAATTTTTTTATTTCATTAATCAACGAATCGACTTTACTATTAAAATTATCGAATTGTTTACCCATAAATTCTACAGATTTTATAAGTTTATCAATTTTCGATTCAACCTTTTTTGGTGATTGAGTAATATCTATACTTGAATTAGTTAGTTTGTGGTCACTGCAAGTGTAATTCCCTTTAGTCGATTTAGACATTTTTTTAAAGTTGGTTTCTGAGTATCCCGCGCAGTAGAAATGTATAGTTTTTTTGCATATGATACATTCCAGTATATCTTTGTGTATTAGTTTTTCTTGACAATTGGCACATTCTGTATCCATATTAATTATTGAAAAGGAATAATAATGATGACTTTAATGAGAAAAAAGATAAGGGAGTCGATGAATAATCGACTATACCGAACAAAGTCTGGATTAGTACTGAAGGAGGTAACTTGGAGGTGTCCATTGCTGATTGTTGACGGTGGCTGGATGTGATGCTGAAAAACGCGCAATCGTGTGTGTAATTAATGGTGTGCGCGTTTAAGGCAGGACACGTGGATTTTCCTCGTCATCGATAATGTTTTATTTTAATTTTATTTTTTATTTTTATTTTATTTTAATTAAATACGGACTAAACCCAAAGTACAGTAGTATATGATTACAATTAGTATATGATCAGCAAAATGAGCCAGAACTAGGTAGGGAGATTAAGACAGAAAAAAGTGTAGGGCGTGGGTGTTACCTATACGCATTAGTCGGTCTATAGTATTATTTTGACTGTAATTAGTGAAGCGTTTAGGAATAGCGAAAGGAGCAATAGAACGGGTTGAACGTGGAGGAACGCAAAAGTTTATAAGAGCGAGGAGCGATGGTGCATCGGTAGAACCGTCAATAAGATTTTGAAGAAATCTCATGTTGGCGTTTACTCTTCTACAGCTATAGTTAACAAGCCTAATTTGTGTTGAACTTGAGAATAGTCGTGCAAGGGGTGGGGAATGTCTAGCAAGTAACTGGCCCAAGATAGGAAGCGCCTTTGGACACGTTCTATGGTGGCGGAGTCGGAAGCTATATGAGGGTCCCATAAGACTTTTCCGTACTCAAGTAGGGGCCGAACTAACGAGCAATAGAGGGTCTTTATTACAGAAGTAAGTTTGAAGTCAGAAGAAATCCGTTTTATAAATCCTAGGGTTTTATTAGCCTTGCAACTTATCGATAGAATGTGTGAATGGTAACTGAGGTCAGAGGATAGGAGAATTCCTAAGTCTTTTTTGGAGTTGACTGATGGAAGAGTTACATCGTTAATTGAGTAACTGTGGCTAATTTGGTAATGGCATCGGGTGAAGGACATTGCTTGGCATTTGCTCGCATTTAAATGCAAACCAATAGATTCAAACCATGTGACAAGAGCATTAAGTTCGTCTTGAAGTAAAAGACAGTCAGAGTTGTTGCTTATACGACGGTAGATTTTTAAGTCATCCGCGAAAACGAGGATATTGGCGGATGGAATTATTTCTTTTATACCGTTAATGAATAACGCAAAAAGTAAGGGTGAAAGGTGTCCACCTTGGGGGTTCCCCGATGGAATAGACGAGGCGTTAGATTTACAGCCGTTAATTTTCACCCATTGGTGTCTTCCGGATAGGTAAAAATTAAACCATGACAATAGTGGGTCGCCAAACCCTGATTTATGGAGGACTTGAAAAAGGATATTGTGGTCAACTCTGTCGAAGGCTTTTGTGAAATCAGTAAATATAACGTCGACTTGACATTTATTTTCAAAAGCTTCAATAATGAAGTTGTTTAGGACCAATAGATTCATAACAGCTGATCGACCCGGCCTAAAGCCGTATTGTTTGTCTATGAGGACTGAGTTAACTGAAGGAAGTATATAGTTAAGAATGAGTTTCTCAAATAGTTTGGCAATATGGCTTAGAATGGAGATGGGTCTGTAGTTTTTGACATCGGATTTATCACCTGATTTTAGAATAGGAGTGATGGAACTTAATTTCCAAATAGACGGGAATATACCTTCACTCAGTGAACGGTTAAATATTAGCCAAAGGGGTATTGAAAGTATTGATTTTAAGTTATAAAGGAAAATTCCCGGAAGACCATCTGGACCTACGGATTTTACGTTTTTTAATTTTACGAGACCAGATTCAATATCAGAAATACTAATGTAACATTTGTTAGGTAGGTCATAGTTTTGATGGGGGAGTTTGACATAGCTGTTAGAGGAAGGAAGGGAGTAAACTGAGCTAAAGAATTCAGAGAATAGATTAGCGATCCCAGGAGTAGTAGAGGCTGTGAGGTTATTAAGATGAACAGTGTTGGGAATATAACTATCGGATTTTACGCTACGGACGAAATTCCAGAAGGACCCAGGGTTACTTTTTAGAGCTGCTTCTGTACGGGCAATATATTCTTTATAACAAATCTTGAATTCAGATTTGTATTTGGCTCGAAGATTGGAGAATTGAGTATAGTGGTACGGATTTTTAGATGCTTTGAAAAGGGCATGTGCTTGTCTTTTAGCCAAGACAATCATTTTAAGTTTTTTTGAAAACCAGGTTGGAAATTTGGACTTCACATACTTTGATACTGGCACGAAGTTCAGAATACAGTAATGTAGGGCATCATACAGGGTACTCGCAGTAGAGTCAACGTCGAGTAGTCTTATTGTCTCGACCCAATTAAACTGCTCTAGGTATTTTAAAATTTCTGGGTAGTTGGCTTTTTGAAAGTTATAGTAATTATGAGAAATATTTATAGTAGGTACCTTAATTTGGGGAATTACAATATCCAGTGCTGGGTGGAATGGATCGCACGGGACGGCAGGGTTGGAAGATTTGTCAATTATGATGGTATTGTTATTAGAGAAAATTAGATCTAGCAGCTTACCCATGTGGTTATAGATGTAATTTAATTGGAAAAAGTTTAAAAATGCAAATGATTCTGGTGTAAAGTGGCTGGAAGAGGAAGTGTAAGAGAGACCTAGTTCATCACTAGACCAGGAAATAGCAGGAAGATTAAAAATCACCACATAAGGTAAATGTGTAATCATAGTTTGATGAGGTGACGGACTGAACTGACTCAATGAAAGATTCATAAGTAGCAACAGAAGAACTCGGAGGAAAGTAGACAGACCCTATGATACATTTTTTATTACTGATGGAGAGTTTTACAAAGAGATGTTCAACATTGGTAATAGTAGTGGTTAGCAAAGAGGAAGGTATATCTTTACGTATGACAATGAGTGTACCACCACCTCTACTGTGGATACTGGTGGAGGAACTTCTGTCGCATCTAAAAATAGAATAATTTGATAGACCTAGTTCTGAGTCATTAATACTGTTACAGAGCCAAGTTTCATATAAACATATAAATAAATAATTAAATAAGGCAACATTACATTTAAGGGTGTTAAGTTTAGTGCGTAGACCTTTACAATTTTGATAGAAGCCTATTGGTACCTGGGTGCAAGTGGAGGCTTCTAGTTTTTTGATAGAGGTTTGACAGCCTTTGGAATCCCGTTGACATACTTGACTATAAGATCCGTTTCTCCGTCAGCTTTTCTGCGTTCCAAATCGGTGTAAGCAGCGTGCAAAGAATCACGCTCCCACTTAGTCTTGTCACGGACGATGCTAATGTGGGGGGGGGGGCAACATATTAGATTTCTTGGCAGACTTGATGTTTTGTAGTACTTGAAGTGCATCAGCACTAGAGTTAAAGAAAACTTTGACAGGACTGGTGTCGGATACAATCTTCCCAATTCGTAGGAGCTTTGAGTAGGTCAGTAGAGGAATATTAAGTTTGGAAAAGAGGTTAGATAACATTAATTGGTCAGAAGAGATTCTTTCAGTCAGGATAGCAGATTTGCATACTGGAAGACCGCGGACAATGATATTTTTTTTTTTTTTTTTACGTCAATTAGTTTTTAATTCATCTAGAAAAGTGTTTTTTCGTAAATTAAATTTTTCAGAAGGTAAATCATCAACCAATTGGTCCGATAATCCATAGTTTAATTTGGACCACATGTTTTAATTTAATTTTATTTTTAGAAGGAAATAATTGTCGTCTTGTATTATTACGTCTTTTTCTTTCAACATCTTTTAAAAATAATTTACTAAACTTCCCTGAAAAATTTTATGTGATTATTTATTATTATTATTATTTCAATATGAAATAAAAAATTATTACTATTATTATGTTAAAATTTTATGAGTAAATACCTATATAATATATAAAATAAGAACCATTACTTGTATTTGTTAATTTTATGGTATTTTATAAAATATGATTTTATTAGTTGTCCAGTAAGTTAAAATAAATACCTGGGCTTTTTTTCATCACATTTTTATTTATTGCTCGCAGGTATTCTTTAGAGTTGAATGATACTACTGCAGCTTCAACTAGAGTGTAATATGTATTTCGTTGGGACAAATTGATTCTTTTTCCTCCGATGTATTTATTTATTATACTTTTGAATATTTCACATATATTATTATCGACGTCTAAAATCAAACTCGATGAATTTAATACTAGGCGGTTAACAATATTTTTTATTTCAATCATCGTTCCGCGGATTTCTGCACGCTCTACCCAATTGTCTTCGTCTACTTGTTTTTTTTTTTTACAAAAATATTCGTCACACTTTGAATGTTCGCCAAAAATATGATACGGACTGTTGTATAGGTCCATTGATAAATCTAAAAAATATTTATTTGTACAAATATATTATTTATATAAAAAAATATTTAAAATATTTAAATAATTTTTTTGTTACTTATATTGAATATATATATATATATATAACATAGCTTTGTACATCTTATTTATAATTAAAGAGCTGTATATAAAAATCAAAAATGTTTCATGTCTATAATAACACATAGATACTTGGAATGACTTGCCCGGGCTAGTACAGTAATATTGCATATTTATATTTAAAATGTTTTACAAACTTTTAATTTTCTCTGCTGTTGATACATTTTCATTTTTTCTCGCTGTGACAATAACAGTACGAAATCTCAAAGCATTTTTTAATATAAATTGTCTTAATTAGATAATTGGTTTTTTTTGCAATAAAAGTTAATTTTTTAATATAATTTCTCAACATGTAATTACGGCACTCGATCTTTTGAATAACGCAATTAGGCTCATAGGGTAAAATTTCTTTTAGTCTTTAAGGGACACTACTGTCATCATCACCTGTAAAATCAAAAGTAAATTAATGTAGATGCAAAATTATAAAATTGAATAACCTACCAATAAGCTTATTGAATTTCAATTTATGTAGCTCTATGCTTTTTAAAAAACCATCAACTATTCCATCTGCT